CGCAGAGCGCTGTGCTGGCCGCGCAGTCTCCGCCACCGGCCGCGGGGCCGCCGACCGGCGCCGCGCCCGGGGAAACGGGCTGCACCGGCCCTCCTCCGCGCCGTTCGACTTTATATTTAATACATGGCTTTTCATCTATAATTCACGTTGTTCTGACTCCAGCTCTGTCTCGGCCCCCGTTTACGCCAGCACACCTTTCTCCTTCGCCTTCCCGAAGGAAGGGGCGGCCGAGATCCTCGCAGAAGGAAGGAGAAAGCTGCTCTGCTGCTTTGGGTTTTGTCTGTTTAAACACTGAACTGGAAAACATTCCTTTCCGTGGTTTGCTAAATAATAAAAGTGATAATTCTTCTCCCCCATAAATGACACAGGTAAATTATCCAGCTGGCCACAAAGAAGCATCACATGCCTGGAAGACGGAGTAATAAAATGCCAGTGTATTACGACAGGAGTGACCTCAAAAGTGTGACAAGAAGATGATTATAGTGCATTATATATAGTGCATTATATGTAGTGCCTTTTTCAACATTTTCTGAAGCATGAATGAACCTTCATTTGACTGTGCTTTTATTGCTAGCTTTTCTCAGCTTGAACTTGCAGGCTAGATGACACAGTACCTACCAAATTTAGTATGCCCGGGTACATGGCCCCGCTCACTGCTGTTTCTGTTTAAGCCTTTCAAATAGAAAAGCATAGCAAAAAAACAAAGATAACCAGCATTTTACTTTATTCCGTACACAGTACTGTATCTAGATAATTTACACATTTCCAGTTGGTAGCATTGACTAGCCAATCTGAGTCCCTACCCTGAAGATTTTACATTTTCAGATGCAGTCTCCTACCTTCAGACTACCGTATGTGTGGGCACGTGTGACCCCCCCATTAAGTATTGGTGGAAGCTGCTTGTACCTGTCAGAGGTCAGTAATCTGCGTGGCTTGGGTTTGCATGGTACATACTGATAGACATGCATATCCTTGCCAGTCATACGGATGCAGGCATCATATGTGAACATTGCACGTCCTGTAATCCCCATGATGTGTGAAGATTAAATGCTCTTCATTTTGCTGTGTTTTGTGTCCAAAAAGACTCCTGTTACAGACATATACTGAAAACATTGATCTTGGTTTTGATGACATGAAGTAATGGTTGCAAACGGAACTGAATCTAATAATAGTTTAAGAAAAATGTTCATTATGTAATACAGGAAGGATGGCAAGAGCCCCAGCATTGAAAGTCGAGCAAGTGACATGAAGGGGCAACCTTACTGCCAAACCACTTAGAAAAAGATTTCTGTGAATGAATTAAGTATGCAATTCTTTCGTCTTTTAAAATACAAAGCAGAACAACCATTAATAAAGAAGATAATTAGAACTACTAGCATTCTGTGTAATGCAGTCTGCTTCTGAAATACAGCGTGTTTATGTGTGTGTTAATAATGCACACATTTTTCCTGACACTAGTCATATCACAGCAGTATGGCATCACAGACATTTTATAGCCTCATTCTAGTAACATCACAGACATACAACATTCTTACTCTAATCACACCACAGTCATTTCAATGTCACATTGTAGTCACATCACATAGCCTGGTAATAATTATTTAACTTTTATTGCTAAGCTGAATACTTTTCTGTTTGCTCAGGGATGGCTTTAACTTGTAGTCAGAACTGATTAGCACATGCTTTTAAATGATCTCATGTACACAGGGTTAGCCTCATGAAAAGTTAGGAAGAGAAAAAACATTTAAAATTTCAATGAACTGTAGTGCCTGTTGGATTGAAAACCAAGGCAGTCACAAGTCACAATAATAGGATTTTTTATTTTGTTTTGCTGTTTTCTAAAGTTATTTTAGAAAGCCAAAGATGTTAACATGCAGTTCTGTCATGTTAATGTTTATGTGCTTGCTTTAAAATGCTGTAGTTCTTTAACTAATCATACATTATTAAACCCACGGAAGAGGCAGGTCTTCAGATCGTAGTGTTTGCACAACAGATTGTAAATTGAGACCCAAAGAGGCTAGAACTGCTATTAGTATTAATACAAGAATTAATAGAAAGGACTGAGTGCCTGAGCAGGTGTTACAATTGCCCAGTACAGCATTACGCTGCCTCTGAAATAAGAGGAACTGCTCTGAAACATTTCACTTGAGTAGCCATGTTTTATCCTCCAGTAAATGTTTATTTGCTCGCACTTCTGTTTGAGAAAACTACAGTATTTGATGTTATGTTCTCAAATGTAGCTATACACTGTTATTTATATTGTTCCTTAATAGTCTTCCTTCTTTACTGTGATGTATTAGGCTTTTGTCTGCATATAAGAACACTGGACTTCTAATCACATCATAACCTATTAACATGACTTTTGTATTATAGAATATTAACTACTCATCCACATGATTGCTTGTTATCTTCGCCTCCATATTATTATGTATCAAATTCTTTTCCATATCATATTTGACTCAAATTCTAGCATGCTAGAAACTGACTCCAATTATTCTGTACTAGCTATAGTCAAATTGCACTAAATGGAATTGCTTACATTGTATCATACTTGCTACAGGCTCACACAATACATTATACATGAAACTGATTCACATTATGCTTAGCTAACTAAAGACTTCAATCTTGAAGTGTTAAGCATAAAATGCTATCATTCTTCACTGAACTGGCTCTGGTCACTTGATCATTTTGTACTTGGGATTGCCTCTTACAGGCTGTTATTATTAAAGCAAAATGGCTTTTCCCTTCTTGCAGCTCTTCGCACTTTGTATGGAGAGCTGATTCGTATGCTAATGAACAAGCTCTTTTACTTCATGCCATCGCACTGCAACACTGGAGCCTGACCTATGGTGTACCCATAGCATGTCCCCTTCAGTCCAGCTTAGCAAAAACAGGTGTCACAAACATTTGTGTGTTCCAATAGCCGGTTACATGCTAGCTAATTGACAATCCTTAATATTATCCCTGTAGGCCTTTTTTCTTAAATGTTGCTTAAGTTACTAGCAAATACAGCCTTGGTCCCATCTCCAATAGGAATTATTCAAGGCCAAGTTGCCAGTTGTGCTGAGATCTTTCCTAGATATTTGTTCCGCTCAAATGAGCACTGGCATTGCTCTGTCCCTGACTCAGGCTTCGGCCACAGTTCAGTCCCAGGGTGACCTCAGGAAATCCAGTTCTTACAGGAAACACCAGTACCAAAAAGTGATGCTTATCTTCCTAAGCCTCAAAGCCTTCAGGGAATCTATGAAGACAAGAGATGATGCCACAAAGGTGGGAGCAGTATATAGAAAACTTTGTGGAACCTGTATTTTCTGCATATCCTTAGGTTTCTCCTTACAAGCATGCTGTTTTTGTCTAGACTTTATACAATTGACAGTTTGGATCTTAGAAGTTTGCTTCAGAGTTTCCTTCTCGTCTTGGTTGTAAGAATTGAATCTGGAGTCTTTATTTACATGAGTAATGTAAAAGAAGCCAGTAAAAATATTTTGTGTAATGTAAACCACACAACTACAACATTTGAAAAAGCCAGGTAATTGAATTATAAATTAGATTTATTTAATATGCTCATTTTTATTATTTCAAAATATATTTAATTGGTTTTCAGACCGGTTATGAGAGCTCTAGCAAAGGAAAAACATTTTAGCAAACAATTCCAGACTATATATTAATCTGTACTCTTAAATAAACAGGAATAACAAAGTCAGTTTATGATGAATAATTTAAGCCACTTGAGCTGCTGAGATGGGGCAATACTTTCAGAATCAGGCCCTTTTATTATGTCTTTCTTCAGGAAAACAAACTCGGTCCCTGGATAATCAAATCACAAAAGGGGCGGGTGAGGACCTTTATTCCATTTGAATGGCAGAACTAAATTTAACTGAATTTGCCTTTTTTTTTTTTGACTGACAAAGATTGCAAATGTCAGTTCATGGCTCTGAAGGGTCTACAAATGCACAAGCTGAAAACT